TTCGACACACGTTACTAAATTTTCTCAACGATGCGACTTACCCCTTTATATCGAAAGCCTTGATAAGAATGCTTTGCAGCACTTCTATCGATGTTATTTGAGGATCCACACTAAACTTGCGGTATTCGGGTTGGTGCCTGGTTTCACATTTCTGGAAAAAGAGGAATATATCTATCATTATTCTTTGTTAATTTTACTTTCCGTGCATAAGATATAGATATCTTTTAAGCATAGAAAAATTCCCCACGGAGATACATGGAAGATGTGCGAGTCTTTGCATTATAGTAGATTTATGTAGTTGTGTCATATATGTTATGTAATTGTTGCATAACCTAATATCTTATTGTATATTTTTATGCCATGATATATATAAGCTAGATTAGAAGAATTTATTAACGTAAGAAACTTCTCATTGTTACAGTTTAAATTTTCAAATAATCATACCTTAACTTTGACACGTACAGCTTCTCTGGGACAACCAAACATGTCTACTGCCAGTTGGTTCACTTCTAAACAAGTATATTTTACGGCAGAACACTAAGTATCATGCCCCTTGCATATTGCGGAGCTCATTTCCTCATGTATCAGCGATTCATATGTATCATCAAATTTAAATGTTCATCATTTAACCACAGCAGCAGAAACTGATTAGACTGGAAAATTGATAAGACAAGTAAAACACACCATTGCCATTACTGTACTGATGAACATGTACTGATAAGATACTACTAACAAAGAATATATTTCACATTCAAGGAGAACATCACTTTCAAGAGTGATGTTAATCATTGATTCAGTAATGAAATTTTAATGTCCACTGCACAAACTGTTATAATGTAATATTAACACAATTAAGATAAGCATTTCAAAGTAATCAAGACTAAAGTCTCAATCCTTGTTAAGATTAGAAACTAGGACAAATGTTTTAGTAGCATATATCATTGTCAGTAAGAGCAGCACATTAAGATTGTCAAAATTCTTATCGCTCTTCACTTCTCATCCCGTCGACATGTCAAAATTATATTTTGCAACTTGACACTCTCGACGTGTCACAGAGACGTTCGCTGTCCGCTCAATTAGCAAACACTATTGCGAGATCTTGATACTTAATAATTACTGTGAAACCGTGCGTACGCTCAATTTACGATACGTGCTCCGAAGTGTAGAAGACGCTTTTCTCCGCGACGTTTCATGTTCTCGTGCTCGCTTTCTAGCTCGCCTAATTACACACGTCTGTAGTGGCCATGTGTCTCGCGTGAAAGTGCAGCTAGTTTCGACGGTACACCGATCAGCCGTCAATCAGTGAGTATCGACGTCGACAACAGTCGTTGGTCGCTCTGCGTCGCGGGAAAAACAAGACGGACGACGTCGTCGTCGTCAATAGTCAACTTCTTCCAGCTGTCGTGTCTTTGTTGCTGCCTGACGTCGCGCCGCGTCGTCGTCGTCGTCGTCGTCGTCGTCGTCGTGCTGCCGTGACGCCGACCAAAGCCGACGTGACGACCAGTGACAGCATACTCGCGCGCTCACTAAGCGCATGGAACATGTTCGATTTTCAAGCTGCGACAGGAGCGGCCGTTGCGTCTCGTCGCCATGCGCTTCGTCGATTCGCGCGTTACACCGATGCAATTTAATAGGATGCAATAAAATCGGAACGTACTTGAAAATAAAGAACCGTCCAAACTATCGTTGAATCGTAATACTTGAAGACGAGAATTCCTCCGATCGTTGAATCGTTTTGCTTGGAAAGTAAAAGATCGGGTCAACTTGTCGTTAAGTCACTTCCACGACTTCAATTTTGCGTTCAAAATGGCAGCTTATAGCATAAACCTTGGAACCAATAATAACCGCGGTCCGACCTGAATCTGAGATGAATCTGTAAAAGTTATCAAGATTTAATAATCACAAATTTAGAAAAGAAGCAAAAAAAATACATTTTCTTCTTTTCCTCGAATTGGCTAAGGACTGATCTTTCAAAGGCTATCCATCGGCTGAAGAAAAAAAAGCTATCGAGACTCGATAGATTGGATTTGAAAATATCGAAAAAACAATCGATCCTTCAACGAGGAGAAGAGTAATCGAAACATCGATTCATATCGATCTCTAGATATATCTCTAGACAAAAGCGAGATCCACGGCGCGAAGTGAGCACGCGACGAATTTTATGGATCCATGAGAGTCCCTGCTGATGACAGCTCATGTCGCAGACCGGTCATGACGTTCGCGTTACGCTCGCAATGATGTGTCCAGATACTTCACGCTTGTGTACAGCTGTGCACGCGACCGCCAGGTTGAGAGTGATGCTGCCGTAGAAGCGGAACGGAACTTTGCGGGCGATTCGTGCGCGATTTTCTCTTCGACTTTCTTTTCGATCCTATCTGTGAGGTTATGATCACCGTTGCCTCATCGTCGAGACCAGCATCGTTATCACTCCGGTAATTTGAATAAAATTTCTACGGTGCGCGAACGCTTTCGCGATGAGAACCGGCGGCATGCTGGACGGCCGCGAGTTCGGCAAACGTGTGCGCCGCCTCCTGGACGGCAATTACTCCTACCGTAAGATCCTGCTGCTCATCCTGATTTGCGGCGGCCTGCTGCTGTACTTTGGTCCGCCAGTCGCGCAATGGCTTTTCTCCACTGTCAGGGAACCCATCGAAGGTAATAACTGCGTCTGCTTCGCAGCTTTTCATGTTATTAACACGATGCAAGAAAACGTTTTGTCTCGGGGAGTGCAAATATCAAGATTTATACTATTTTGCCAGAGATATTTCAGCATCTCTGTATTAGACGTATATTAAAAGTTTATATAAGCAAAGCTAAATTTCTTTTTTTCATAATCCAAAATAATGATACGATGTTGTTTGGTTGTTGCTTTTTTGTTGAAATAAATTGAAGGATTTGTCACACTGATACTAATTTTTTAATTCATTACTAGTTAAGTCTCTGATAATTAACTCATGGAATAGTAAATTAAAGTTTATATTGTAACTATATTATATTATACTATAAATTATTAAAATACACACAGGGCAAAATATATGTGATATAATAATCTTCTTTTCTAGAAAAATATTTTTGCAATTTCTTAAATTTGCACAGAGCTATGCATCTAGAGATAATTCCACAATATTATATAGGATAAAAAATTTCTCTGTTACATTAATGTTGATACATTTTCACAGCATTCGAAGACCACTGCATAAATGAGAGATTAGCCAGTTTTTACTTTGATGCTGCTGAATATAATGTGAATATTCTGCATAATCCACCCAAGGAGAATGAACATCCTTATCTGCCATATATTGGAAATGGTGTTTTTGGTGTCCCTATTTCTCCCGAAGGCTGGTTGTATATCAAACATGGAAGAGCTCTTTTATTGCCAGTACAATGGCAACCGTTGATCATTCATCCAATACCCAAGGATAGAGATATATCTTCATATCGAGAAGCAACTGTCGTTCATTTTACAAATGGGATTGTTTACAAGTACCAGTGCCTTAGAGAGGGATATCATATAGACTCTCAGTATTATGCTCATAGAGGTCTCGAGGGAATCTTAGTACAGAATATAAAGCTTGCTAATCCATTTCTACTCTCCCAAGAGATAACTTTGAAGCCGCAAGAGTCCACCCATTGGAGCAATTCTCACGTAGAACCGATCAAGTGAGTAGCAACGTTATTTTATGATCAGACCAAGCGTTATCAGTGCTCATTGCATTGCACACTGTTCAACATCAGGATTCAAGTCGATGGGTTTAATCACGAGTACACCTTCGTGTCTGGATTCGTACCGTTGCCCAATTCAAATAAGATAGTAGTGGTATCGATTATTTACAAGGTCCCGCCTGAAAGAATACAGGTGAAAGCGCGCAGTTCGACCAAGCTCGAGTTCTTGACGAGTATTCAGTACAGCGAGCCAATCTCGTCCGAGCAATATCACGTTGAACGCGACGCGACCAAGAAGAGGGCGGTCGATGTAAGTAAACGTGCGACGAAACGCTCATCGTCATCGTGAAGGGATGATATTCATACACTTCAAACCATATCCATTATTTACAGTTATTGAAGAAGGCAATCGTGCAACAGCAACGGGGCTTGAGAGAAGAGCATGTGAATCTCTGGCAGAGTTATTGGTACACGAGTCTGCGGATAAGTGACTCCAAAGCCGAAGGTGCCATCAACGGCCACAAGATTAATTCCACTATGTATTATGTACTGTCCCAAGTGTCACGAAATACTCAGGATTTGGAGAAGAACGTTGTCATGAACGAGGGGTGCTACCGAGGTCATCATACCTTGTAAGCGTGTAATCAAGACTAAATCGTTGTTTTCCGACTAAACCGTTGTTTTACTCGCCATAAGCATGGTTTTCTCGCTACAAGCTGGTTTTCTCGCTCAGAGATGCTCCTCGCTTGTGGAAGGATAGCACATCCATCGACGCTGTGAACGAGATAGTCGAGGCTTGGTTAATAACGTTGGAAAAGCAAGGCTGTCATCATCTGGTGACAGGTGGCCCCGCGGCTGTACAGCAAGCCATTGTCTTGAGTCTCGGTGGTTTGAGATTCAGTAAGCAACACCTCGAGTTTAATATCGATCCTCAGTACCTTCATCGCGACTATTTATTCAGGTATGCTTCGCAAGTGTTATTGTATTACTGGTATCTCTCATCAGAGTATAATTAATATAAAGTTATTGCGTTGGGCACGTATCCATTTCTGCTGTCGATAGAGCAAGCGATCTCACTGGAACTATCTCTTTCAGACGTATAAGTTACGGCAATTTAACGCATCTGAATATATCCGTAACAGTCGGCGACGATAACCGTGCAATATTAGGAGTAGCGTTAGATAAGAGCGACAGTATATACTTCGGATGCGACGCCGGCTGTCTGGACGCTCCGGTCCCCCTTGGCCAAAGCTACACGAATTTCCCCGTGAAGTTGACAAAACCGTTAACGGCGATACTTTACATAACGTCCGATCATCAGCATATGCAAGAGCTTCGCAACGCTCTGCATGTGCACGAAGTGGACGATGGTACGTGTGAAGGTGCAATGTCTTCTTCAAGTACTTCTTAACACGGACATTTTTGCATGAATTTCTACGCTCGATGTATCGAGGTGTAATATATTTCTCATTGTTGCTCTTTAGCATAATTAATTCTGTCAATATGTCTTTCGTTCTTTCCAGCGCCAGCGCACGATCACCAGGTGATGGCTCTGCACAAGCACGGACATCAGCTGGGCGGTTTGCCCACGTTGTTCTGGGTTAGCATATGTTTTCTGATCATTGTGTTCCATCTGTTTCTATTTAAGCTGATTCTCACCGAGTATTATGGTCACCAGGATCGGCAGCGAGTCCGATACAATAAACCGTGATGCGATTGTACATAATTTTCCTATTGCCGTGATGTGTACATATGTATATTGTTGCGATATGTATATATATATTTTTCAAACTCATCGTGTGTATACCGGGAGGAGGGGGATAATTGTTCTTGAGTGGGTGTTTGTACACACACAATACCGAATCTTATCGCGCAAATCATATTTTTATAGCGTCAAATCGAGCGGCGAATGTATATTCTTTCGCGACTGTAAGTTATTTTTCTATGCGACGACGTGGTTGAGAGTCGAGGAGTCGTTGTTTCATTCCCGCCGCTGCGAGTGGCTATCTATCAGTTTATCAATACATACTACATTCTGCATACACAAATATATACATGTAAAGCTTAAGATGACGTTCATGCGATCATGCCGACGACTAAAATCTTGGATTTACCGGTTCTTCGTAGGACAAACCGTCAAGTATAATCGCGTAGCTTTCGCGGAGGGAAACGTTGTCAATGCTGTCCAGTTGTGTTTAATATCGAACGCGCGGCGCGAGATTATCGAGCCGAGGGAGAGAAGTTCACCATGTTAATTTGTCGACAACATTTATTATAGAATATGTTAAACGTATAATAAATTGTACTACAACGCAATTGAACGCGTACATAATCGATAACAACGCAGGATGGATATTCATTCACATTAGCGATCTACGCACGCCGAACAATGACACTAGGTTTAATGGCGAGGTAATCAATGCGACTGAGTATTCTCTGTGGAATGTCGCGAATGCGTCTGGCTGTTGCGACGATCGTCGCAACGACGACGTGTAACGGCGATGGGCGTTAACTCTCACTCGATTGGCACTTTGTGACCCCATGATGGAAAATTGGAAATTCGATCAAGCGCGATGACTTTTCCACGCGTGCGCATACGTTAATTTAATTTAATTTAATCCGCGCGAATTTTTCTGTCGCTTCATGCGTTTATTTTTTACTGTCACTTCTGCGAGAGCTTTCGACCAATCCGAGGTGCCAGATACAGGCTGTTGAGGAGTTTCGAGGCAAAATAATTCTTGAGTGTTTTATCGCGCGAAAAGCAACGAATGCAAAGGGATACAAGTCAGCCTTTTGAGTCTGTCGCGTTTGCACTCATCGTGCCAATCAGCGAGAATTAACGATGCATTAACAGGCTCTTCTGACGGATCAGCCGAGGTAAGTGGTGTTACGAACTGAATCAGCCGACAACTCAAACCGTACAGCGACTTTACGGTAAAGTAACCGCAAGCGTGACCGGTCACGCGGGGGATTCCTGTACACGTTCAACAGACGGGCGACAAAACAGCGTGTTACAGATCGCGCGACGACGCAATCGAAACAATCGTCGTTTCTTCGTTAATTTCAGTTTCTTTATTAATTGACGCATGTTGTTGACGCCGCGTCAACGAGACGCGCGACGCTTTACGCGAGAACTGCACGGGAGGAATTCTCGCGTTCGTCCGCGATGCACGGTCGCTTCAATCGTCCTCGTTATCAGTCTAGAGTTTTTGTTTAATCTACCTAGACGAGATACTTAACGATACGTGGCGAAATCGAGCTAACGAGATTAATATCGCTGGTTACTCTCACGACCGGTGACGCAGCTTCCTTCGCTCTTTAGCCCGGAAGTGGATAGGCGACGGACTCGGGACGCGCCTGTGTGATGTGAAATACCGGTAGGAAATAATGCGGGTAAACGAACAGAATTAGGCCACCAAAAAGACTGACGGCTCGATGAAGGAAGCTTTGACGGGCAAGAAGTAAATAACGTTGAAGTGTATCGCGTTCTTCAAAACAGAGTCGGGTCTTCTCTCGAGCAAGAGAAGTATACAGAAGATACACGCGCATTTCTCGGCTTCGAGGAAAATCAAGTTTTCTTACGTTATTAATTTGTACACAGAAAAAAATATCATTACCGCTTAAGAAAAATGAATTATTCCGTTTAATTTCCTTCTTTTGTGTAACGGTTATCTTCGACAAACAAATATTTTCTTAGTGATGGTCTTTTAAAATATACTCATCGTAAGTTGCAGAGAAACTCATCGTGTTTCAAAAGAAAAATGAAAAATCGAAATAAACTGAAAAAAAAATTTTTTTTTTAAGAATATTACAAAACTTGTATTCTACATGAGAACCGAATTCTTGTTTTACTTTTAATGTCCTCGATTGAAGTGCTAAACTCACCAGGATTCACACCCGTATTCATAGTCAGGCCTTATATTTGAGACTTCCTTAAGTTTATCTTCAGATGGTCTGTAGCCAATAAAATAATCCGTGCAGCATCTAAAGATGGATATAAGGAGGCCTCAAATATAAGGCCTGACTATGAACTGACTGATGCGGGTATCAGAATGTATTTTGAGTAAGTTTTAGGCTTGTGATGAACTTGCGCATGCGCAAATTACGAAATACTCGGAACAATATTTAAGTTGCGTTCGGAAACGTCACATCTGCTGCATTGGTGCGAGAGAGACATAAAAATGAGATAGAGAGAGACAGAGAGAGAGAGAGAGAGAGAGAGAGAGAGAGAATATTGACATTTCCGAACGCAGCTACTGGAGAATAGTATATATTTTTTTGTGTGTACATTGCCGCTCGGGGGTGTAATTTCTCCTCGTGCGAGAAGCGCTCGCGACACATTATTCTCTCCGCGAGGCAACAGGCAGGTGTTGTTTGTTTCACGATCGAGACGATCCGATATCGAATTAGCGGCATAAATATGAGAAGAATGGGGCGACGCAACGAGGCGTGATCTTTCTGAAAGTTCACGGGGTCGCCGTGGGAAATCTCGCGTGTTTACGGGTCTCACGCTTCCCGTCCTCTATTCACACAACGACGCTATTTACATGGAAAACAATGAACCGCGCTAAGGAGCGGTAAGTGTACAATTCCGGAGAACTACTCTACGTTTGATTACACCGCGGCATTTCGCCAATTCTAACACGGTGGTGCGCGCAGTATCGACGTTTCCTCCTTCCTGTCTCTCTCCGAATCTCAGCCGTGAATCTTAGTCCATTGTGCAAGTCGCGAAGTCGCGTTTAACGGAGTAGTTTGGCGCGTATATGTGTATATATATATATATGTATAACATTTAGTATTAAATATAATTACAGATATAAAAAGTAATCCTACGAGAAGCTTAAGTGAGATTACGCTCGTAACGTGGAACGAAAGGAACCAGTTTTCACTGTTTAGATTCGTGTAATTCAAATCTCATTCACGAGGATAAATATACAAATGGCTTTTTAAAGCCGTCGCCTCTCGCCGCGCGTACTTAATATCGCGCGCTATACTATATATATATATGCATATAGAGGATATTTCGTAATTATAACTAAACACTTAACTGGCTAATAAGACCCACGAGAAACCGACGAGAGCCCGCATCGCTCAACCTTGTAACATCGCGTCTACGTTAACTGTACATCGATTAAACCCGCAAGATTAAAGACGCAGGTAGCCCTGTAATAAACAGGAAAGTATGCCAAGAAGATTGCTTTTAGCTTCGCGTTTTCACGCTCATCCCTTCGTGAGTCACGAGTCCTTTGACGTTTCGAGGTTAGGTCAGACGCCGCATACCGCACATTGCTGCACCCTGCAGTGCCGCGCGCGGAACTTTGCAACCTCGCGGTCGTCAGCTGGCACAAGGTCGGGGTGGGAGCAAGGCCGCGTTCCGATCGCCATATATGGCACGTCGCGTGTCGGAATGTGGGCCTACCCCCACCCCGCGTAGTACGTCAGCTGACCGCTGACGCCGACCACGTGATTTCATTCAGCTGCCGCCGCGCGGGCTCGGCGTAGGCGCGCCATTGAATCTCCGCTTCGACCGCGCTGAACGGGTAGGATCGACAGAGCGCGGCTCGATATAGCGGTCGATGGGTCTTCCTCGCTAAAGGAAGCATGTGAGGACTTGAAAGGAAATTCGCTGAGAAGCGAATGAAGACCTGCGCGTTTCCGACGGGCAAACACACAGGGCTGTTCCAACTTCTTGATAAGTTAACCGATAGTTAAGTCATATGTTTATCTTGGTTTTTCCTTCAAACGAAGACAGATGTACGATTGAACTATCCGCGTTGACTTACCAAGGAGTTGGAACAACCTGTCCATAAAGGTTCTTTCTTCTTTCTCGAAACAAAGATTTCGAATCGTCCACGTTGAATCATCACGGTGAACAGTGCAAAGTATCGTCAGATTGAAGTGGAATTTGTCAGATCTTGTTAATTTGTTTTTCTTTCTTCTGTTTTTCTCCGCGACTTCTGTTAGCCAGTTAAATTATTCGCCTATAATATCGAAACATTCTGTATATCGTGTGTGTTACATATTACGTGTCTACTCTTCTCTTATTTACAAAATGTATCCGCACTCTCTTATGGTGTATCGATTTGATCTGACTTTTCGAGAGACAACGATTCTCTCTCTCTCTCTCTCTCTCTCTCTCTCTCTCTCTCTCTCTCTCTCTCTCTCTCTCTGTTTCTCGCTTGATCTTAATCCTACGGAATACGATTCATAATTGTATTTGTAATAATATCCGTCAGAGTTTTCCACTTGCGCTAACATCGATTTGGCACCGTATATAAAACTTTGTTTAAAATTGAGGCTGCTTCGCACCGAGAACGTTGTTTACGCGATAAATCGAGTATTCTCTCGCCACACACCGCTGACGTCTTTCATATACATACGCATGTATAATTACTCTCTTTACTTCTCTTTTTACGATCTTCTAGTTAATACCGATTTCTTTTTTTTCTTTTTTCAAACACGTAGATAGATATATATGTATATGTATCAAACTACCGATAATCACGTTCGTCGCTAAACGAGTACGAGTGAAACTCTCTGCTATCGATTGCACCGCACAGCGGTATATATCGCCGGTTCATTAGTTAATTGATTAATCGTCCTAAGATACGCGTTTAATGTACAACCCGAGTACATTTCACATCGTGAGCGCAAACGCGGGCCGATACGTATCTCGCATCGACCCGTTTCTCTCTCTCTCTCTCTCTCTCTCTCTCTCTCTCTCTCTCTCTCTCTCTCTCTCTCTCTCTCTCTCTCTTTCTCTCTCTCCTAGTAGAATTAACGCCGCTCGTTTCAATTAAACGGCGGCTCTCTCGGGAAGTCTCTCTCTCGTCCGCCAGTCCGCGCATCAACGAATTCGGACGATATTATTATTCTCGTTAGGTACTCTTCGCTTCTTTTTTTTTCTTCTTTTCTTTTCTTTTCTTTCTACACGTCGCGACGTTCTATATTTCTCGAGGAGACGGGTTCGCCGTGACACGAGAAGAGACGACGAGAGGATATGATTCGACCCGGCAGGAGGATCGGACAGGACCTTCACAGCTAGGACGAAGAGTTATTAGAATTACGTCTATCCGTCTGGAGCTTTAGAATGAGAAATCGCAAGGATACGCGCGCGCGCTTAAATTAACGAGACGTTATTGTTAGAGCCGCGCAGGGAAGGATCTCGTCCGCGGGCGAGCTTAGAGACTAGTAGCCGCATATATGTACAGAGTTTCGTCGGTGTTTCGTTCGTTAGTCGGTTTATTATCGCAGGCAGTTGTATATTTATGAAATTATTCAAGCCTCCTTGCGCGCGCCGATAGTTTCGGTGTACATACGATTACGTCGCATGTCCGGTAAACAATACTGTCAACAATCGTCCGTGCACCCTACTACTCGGTGTTGCGTTAAGTCGAGTAACAATGTTGCTCGACGACAATATCATTCCTCATTCGTAAGTGATTTCTCGTTTACGGTATACGAATATAAATGGGCGAGAGCGAAGAATTCAATATACGCTGCGATAAATCGCGATAACGATGAAATTTGTACTTGTAAAGCCAAAGTGAGATTTATGAGCTGCAGGCTCGGAAGTTAGCTGGAACCGTAAATTAACTCTTTGATCAAAATCTTACAGTTTCATACGCGACAGAGAGTTGGCTCGCATACTGAGGAGAGCGGAGTCGCGTTTTTTCGTTTTCTCTAAGCCTGCGCGTCTTTTCATCATTGCTCGACTTAATCACGAGAACATCGATACACCGTTACGAAAAGTTAGCTCACGAAATGCTAGGCACATAAGTACACACGTATAACAGCTATTTAATACATGCACGCCTCGTCCTTTTACATATTTCAACGTTCCATAAACTTTGTACAATTATTAATTAAGGAGCACCTCGCTTTGGCGAAGCAAGATGTTCCGCGATCGCTCAGTTGTAATTTTATGTACATTTATAGACTCTTGATCATTGAATGTCTCACTAAGTAAATTAATCAATAAGATATATATATATATCTTTCTCTCTCTCTCTCTCTCTCTCTCTTCTCTTTTCTCTTAATTTTAGTGAAGCAGAAGTAGAAACACTCGACGCTTCCTAAATAGTATAAAACTCAAACAGAAGGTTGAACGCATCCCACAAAAAGTCAAATATTTTATCGCACCTTCTCTTGATATTAAAAGTTCAGACTACTTGCTAAAGTTTCCGACAAAGACGATGTCACTCAGCGTGCATTCACCTTTGCAATTTTGTATACTTCTACCAAGGAGCCAAACAAGAGAAATTTAAGTCTCCGCTGAGTTAAAAAGAAGTTCTTTTCTTCTCCAACGGGGCCGTACTCGAGCTTCCTCTCGGCGGCGCAAGTTTCTTAACGTATGTTTCTTTTTTATTTTTTTCTTCCCTATACTGTAACATTCGTTCCAAATAATACACTAGTAAAATCACCGAGAGACAACGAGATAAATAAATAATAATAACTATGTGTCTTAGGCATATATCGTATGTACAATGCGCGACGTAGCCACACGTAAATCGCCTCAGTGAGACCTTCGCCTCCTTCGGTATCCTCCGGAAACGATAATAACAGCTCTCTACAACACGAGTTTGTGGATTCGCGCCACAAACGCGATGGCTATAACAACATTAAGTACAGTAACTACCGCCGAAACGTTTCGTCGAGTTTTCCTTACCTAGCAATTCTTATCGTGCTGCAAGTAAAATCGCTTTGATTTTGGCTTGTTTTTTGTACAGGAATGTTACGGGGTCGGTGCGCGATCTCTCTCTTTCTTCTTCTTCTTCTTCTTCTTTTCTCTTCTTTTTTTTCGCGAAACACAGTAAAAGTAGTATTTGAGTCAGTCGGAAAGTGCAACTCGATTCCTCTTAGCGAACGATTCGATTTTATCATATTCGATGGAAGTGAATTATTCACGTCAACCGAGTGATGACCGTTGTTGTCTCCAAGTCAATGTTTATGTCGGCAAATTTACCCGATCGACGAGTAATCTCTCTTTCTGCGGGGTGTACGATAAAGTCAATTTGGACTGAGAAACCGAGTCTGACACTTTTTCGCCTGACTCGATATAATTAATGATCATTAGGCGTACTCGATGTAGCGATTGCGCTCGCGCGTGTCGATTCGTCGTTGTCTCAATTTTAGCGTATGCATACATATTGCGAATTGAGTTCGAGCCGTGTTTCTTAACTTTTCGCGTTCGTTTTTCGGGGGGGGGGAGGATCTATCGTGGTTGACTCGATACTGGTTTATTTGTGGCACTTCAAGTTACGTGATGCAAAAGTTTCTGGGTATTGAGGATGAGAATAAGGACAGAGTGTGGTAAGTTAGTCGTTGATTTGTACTTCCTTCGTCATTTTAACTTCAACTTTACGCGGCTTCCACGTTTATGGGGCTCGGCCGAATTATCGCTTTGAATTTAAATGAAAGACAAAAACCACGACGACGTAGAGATAAATCTTTGAGGACGACTGGGGAGCACCGCGACCAAATCCCTGCTTTGAATATTTTTGGCAACTGGCATTCCTACGTAATCGCTTTACTATTATTTAGTAGTATTTTCGTCTATCACGCCAACTACGACTGAGATTACTCGCTAATACTAACAATCGCATCCGCGACCGAACGATAGAATGCGAAATTACTCGGTTAATTTGATTATCGATTTTTTTAGGATCTCCGCGTATATTCTCTAACACATTTATATCCGTTTTCATATTTACTAAAGTATGTACACAGTGTTCCAATATCAATGGGCGAGATTTGTAGAACATGCTGGTGGTAGTAACAACAATTTTAAAATTGAACGAAATTAATTATGAAAATTGTATTCTAAGAGTCAAACGAAAGACTTTGTTGTTTATTTCCGGGAAAAAAAAAACAATTGAAAACGTCAAATCTTTAATATCGTAATATAGCAAAATTTGTATAGAGCGTACAGGTGAGAATAAAATCGACTCCAGAGCTGTCTTTCATTCTAAATCGCTGCTAAATGAATGGCTAATGAATCTGACAGACAAACAATCGCGAAAAATATATCGACCGATTACTTGGAAAATGAATATTCGTGTAAAAAGTACAATCATCGATAAATTAAACGCGATTATTGTACTTTGCGTCCATTGTTTGCATATCAGAATGTCTGAAATATTAATTTAGTTCTATTGATGTGAAATTAACACAAAAGCTATCGCGTTATTGGTATGTGTGTGTGTTTTGTGTGTGCGTGTAGGAAAAAGTTCTTTTATATTGCAGCTCGCGTGAGAGAGATGAATGGATCAAAAACTCACTCGTGACGGTGAAACTTTCTGAATACCAGTGGGAGCATTCTCGCGTTAACCGACAAAGCCGATGGTTTCAATTATGAACAACTATATAAAATCGTAGTCTGCGAAACAATCATTTTTGTTCGGACGACCTGGCGCGTCGCGGCCGTCGAGTTTTATTTCCGCATGTCGCGTTAGTTGCCCGTGCACACTCGAGAAGATTATTTCATTAATATTAACGACTTTGTCGATATTATACTTGTGTTACTTAAAATTTACCAAATGTTTTAATGGATTATTTTAATAACGTTATCAAAGATGTGTTGTTGTTACGAAATGTAATTTGGAAGTTCGGTAATGAAGGATTTCCCAGATAATTAATTCCTTTTTCCTTTTTCGCATTTATCCTAATTAGCCAATTCTCGAAAAATCAAAAGAAAAACTCGTACCACTTTGTACAAATTTCAAGGTAATTTCTGAAAGTTAGCGAGTTCAGTTCGAAGAGTTTTGACAAGAAAGTAAAATGAAAATTTACTTTAGACGAGGATTTAAAAGTTTTCGTCTAAATATTTTACTTCATTTTCTCGGATTTTGTTAAAGGACTAAATACCAAAAGAAAACAAGACGATTCGGAGATATTTCGTATTATACAGTTAATTTCTCTCAGCACACACACTTCTCTCTCTCTCTCTCTCTCTCTCTGATTTAGATTTCCTTTAATTTAGATTAGGTCTCTTTTGATTTGAAATTTAATTAAAAATTACAACACCGAAATCTGTCGAAATTTTAATTCTACATTAATCCTTGTAAACAGTGTCAAGCACGAAGGAGAGAACCTCGAGATAAAATACTATAACCATGTAGGCTATTGTGCTATCTCGACGCCACATAATTAATTCTCAAGCGAACACTCCCCCGAGTGCTTCCGTTTAAGCATTAAAGTGAAGAGAGATTCAATGTAGATCATAGAGATGATCAGAGTATTAAATAAATCTCAAACAAGTCCCCCCATTCTCCGGCAAACAACCGGCGACTAATCAGCCGTGGCTTGACAAAACAATAGCCTACACAGCGCTGCGCCTCGGGATTTTCCATTAGTCCTCGAAAATCCACGGGATTCGTGAGGTCAACGTAGAATCGAAATTCCGCCCCGGGGCCGCCCGGGCGTATCTCTCTCGACGTGATATCGTCGCACGCACGCACGGCATTACGCAGAGCCGCGCGGCGGGACGCGGGGGGACGCGAGTGCGGAGGGTTGAAGGTTTCTCACTCAGTCACTCACACCTCGCGGGAAGGTACAAAACGTCCGGCTGTTAGAAAAACGCTGACGTTGAGAGAGTGCGGGGAAAACGGACGAAGGTCTTTCTCTCTTATCTCGTTGGGCCGCAAGCTCCAAGGTGGACGCCGACGGGAGGCCGTCGCGACTCCCCGGGATGAACACTACGAGGAGAACTCGGAGAAGGTCGGCGAGTCGCAGTAACGCAGAATCTGCTCATCGTTCGGGCACGAGGGTTCCGTTTCCCTCGCGCGCGCCTCCACCTTCTCGGAGATGCTGCTGATCGGTCCGTTGCGATCGTCGCGCGTTGATCCGTTCGGCTCGGGAAGGAAAGCAGAAGAGAGTGTGCGAATTAGGATCAGGGCTCGACCATGTGATGTGATCGATCGATCTACATGATGGACTAGCTCGCTCTCTTTCTCTTTCTTTCTCCCTCTCTCTCTCTCTCTCTCTCTCTCTCTCTTTCCCTCAAGATAAAACGCCCGACTACACGCGCGCGTGTATCCTCCTAGAGAGGACGGTCAGGATCGCGTGGTCAAAAGCGAGGAAAATCCGTCACCTGATGGCGAGAAGAGTCGCGACGGCGCGGCTCGCCCTGATTCCTCTCGCACAGGCACGCCAAGCTCAGCGGCGGACTGGCGGTGTCCGTGAGCTCCGGCAGCTCCTGAACGATCGACAGCTTGCGCTCCTCTTCGTCGTCGTCGTCGCCGCCGCCGCCGGTACCGTTGCCACCGCCACCTCCTCCTCCTCCGTTGCCATTGCCATTGCGGCGGCCGTTACCGCCGTCGCCTCCGCCGTGGCTGTTACCGCCGCCGCCGCCGCCGCTGCCGCTGCCGCTGCCGCCGCCGCCGCCGCCGCCGCCACCGCCGCCGCCGCCGCCGCCGCCGCCGCCGCCGCCGTCGTCATCGTCGTCGTTGTTGATATACACCTCCACCTCGGTCTCGCGCATCCTCGCCCGATGCTCTGGACAGGGAGGGAGGTGTATGAGAGCGACCTAGCTAACGGAGGTCTCCTCGACCGACGGACTCGCCAGCGCCTGAGTCTCACCGTTCGCATGCTTCCGCTCGTCACGTCCCGCCCCGCGGGACATCGGGGGGCTGCTGCGCGAGCCCGAGGTCATGCTCTGCATCGTCTGGCTGCGCCCGCCGGCGAAGCGCATGCTGTACGCCCCGCGGTTGCCGCTCTGCATTCCGCTTGTCTGCGGGGGGGAGGGCCCGAATGGATCTTATTGCGTCCTTATTGCCGGTGACAAGTGTCTCGCGACTGCGAGTTTTTACAAGTGGTGATGGTGATGGTGGTGTACTGGTGTGTGCTGGTGGTGGTGGTGGTGGTAGTTGGCGAGGGGAAATCGCGCGACACAGCCTCGCGCGAGCGTGCGGACGGACCGAACGAGCGTGGCACGGCGCCAAGGTGACAATACGGTCGTCGGGAGCTGCTCTTGCGGCTTCACGTTGAGCATTCGCGTCTGTTGAGTCGCGTGCGGATTTGCCAAGCCTGATCGGTCGGCCGACCAGTCGGTCGTCCCGCCGTGATTCTCGGAGAGTGTCGAGGATGCGATTTTGTCCTCTCGTCATCGACGAGAGAAGAGACACGAGGGAAAGATTCGTGCATTCGGATGCACCCTCGCGCGAGGTATGAATTTTCTGTGACGGGGCATGAAAACTAGAACAAACAGTCTCAGTGACGACGTCCGTCTCGATCTGGTAATGATCACTCGAAATGAACGGTTCGTTGTTCGTATCGACGGAGCGGAGGATTTGGAGGAGAGATTTTGACAGAGCCGAATCGATCATTTTCGCCGTTGTGTCGTCACTTGTAATACTGAACGTTGATTCTGACAAGCGTGATTCGCTTCAAGGCATTCGAGAGCAAAGCGTTTGCTCGCGCACTCGAGTTTAATATCCAGAAAGAGAGAGGATTGACGGTCGTGGAGATTTATCGACGTGAACGGGGAAGGGGAAGGTTAATTTGGACGAAGGCGTATAATCAAAGTTGAATCGCGGCAATTCTTGCAGACGTGCAAGATGTGCCTCGAACTTCCGCGGAAGTTGGGAAGTTTCGAATGGATGGCGCAAAGTGCACGTGTAGCGTCGTCTCCTGTGAAATTTGAAATCAATTTGATCCCGGTGCGCAATTTCGGAATGCTCCGCGAGTCTCGACATTCGATAGTTTCAACAGCTGCACATTTTCAGCTATGATATTCTGTCAAAGATTGTTTCGAAAATTGGACGACAATACGGCTCACCCTTCTTCCTCTCCCTCCTCCAACTCCTCATGTTGGACTCTCGAGAGGAGTTCATCGTTCAAAGAGCTGTTATCGTTTCGACACCTTCGCTAATCAAAATCTACTCCAAATTCCACGCTGTGAGACGTTTGGTTGTCTCTCTCTCTCTCTCTCTTTCTCCCCCTGTCTCTCTAATTGCAGGATACCCTGTTTCATATTCCGGACAGGCTTCATCTCATTAGGCTGGGTGAATAACGAGGCCAGTATTGTACGTACGTTGGGGTGTCCCGGGCGGACGTTCTTGTACGGCTGGAACAGCACCAGGTAGACCTTGGGCGTGAAGAGGCAGCCGAGGGCGACCGAGGCGGAGATGTTGATGCACATGCACATGCTCGCGATCTGAACCTGCAACGTAGGCAGCCGTCCGCTCGACTTTACATGTTAACACAGAAAAACGCGCCGTGAGGCTCGCGTGGCGGTTGGGGCACAATCTTCGCGGCTCGCGCCGTCACAGACCTTGTAGTCGTTGTTGGTGCCAAAGTAAATCGGCACGAAGGCGAGCCAGACGATGCACGTGGAGTACATGGTGAAGCCAATGTATTTGGCCTCGTTGAAGTCCTCCGGGATCTTGCGGGTCTTGAATGCGTAGAGGGTGCACATCAGTATCAGGAACATGTTGTAGACGAGGGACATCATCAGCGAGAACGTGGAGACGCGGCACGTCAGCACCGCAGACAGCGGATACGGATGGATCTCTGTGGTATCCGGCGGCTCGATTATCAGCCACACGGTAGTGCCGATCAGCTGGACTGCGGTTATCCCTGTACAAACGGGAGTCACGTGATCCACCACTCTACCGAGCCCTGCGTGTGTCCTGATAGCGTCACTCCCTGCGTGTCGTGGGGACCGAGGCTATTTTGCATTACCGTCACCGAGGGACGCGCGCGAATGTAAGGGAGAGCCCGGAGAATCTCGCTGCATTCTGCGCGAAATGATTATTCCCTCGCGGAAAATCCCTGCGGATTTGCGAACCTCGGCGGCATGCAAATCGGCGAGAGGTGATTTTGATCGGCGAGGTTACGCGCGACCGGGGAGATGGAAACGACGAGATCCTAATTCGTTCCCAATTATTCGATCGTGAAAATGAGGATGCAAAGTTCCTCGCACGCGCGCGCGTCAGGTATAAGCAAGCCGAATTATTTCTTAAAAGGGGAACTACAGGCCGTTTTCAAAGGTTATTTTTATGAATTTTTTTAACAGAAACGGTAGGATCAATGGACTTGAAATTTTCACAGTATATTCGTCAATGCTCAAAGTATAAAATAAATTTGTTACTATCTATATGGAAAGTACACATTAAACTTTAAACGCTTTAAACGCGTTTACCTAGAAATACCATTTTTTTAAACTGTCGACACGATTACACAAAAACTACTGAATCGAATAACTAGAAATTTTTACACAATATACAGACAATATGTAGTTTTCGCCCTTAACACAGCTCGCTCGAACACAGTTATATTTCATTTTATTCATTTTTTTTAAACATGATACAAGTCGAAAAAAGTTTCATTTTCGACATTTTTGTTTGTACAGTCATTGTTTTCCCAAACTTAGTTTCACTGCCTTCACTGCCACTTTGGTACGGGCTATAATGACAATTGTATATTTTAAAAATCTTTCTCATTTTTTGGTTTCAGAATAGTGAGAGGCCCGGAATTGTCGGAAATGTCGACAACAAACACAGCTCGCAAACGGATGACTGCATTTTTATTTATAATTACAAATTGAATCGGTTCTTGTGTGATTCAATAAAATTTATTCTATACTTTGAACATTGACGAGTGCACTGTAAAAATTTCAAGTCCATTGATCTTATCGTTTCTTTTGTTAAAAAAATTCGTAAAAATAGCCTTGAAAACGGCCTGCTCCGCGTGTAATTCCCCCCTTAAACGCATTTTGAAAGAAAGAAACAGTCTCTTGAAAAGAATGGCGACTTGTCGGCTGTCCCGCGGTAGTAATCGCGTATGGTGATTGGCAAAAATTTCGCGATATCCAGAGAAATGGAATCCAGAAATTGAAAATGGAATCGAAATGCGGAATTACGAACTAGCTATAAATAAAATCGTAAAACGATGCAGCTTCAGAGTGAATTACGAATTAAACCGTGACTGCATTTTCCGGCGAATAATATATTTTTCATTAAACTCAAATATATACGTATCTTCTGTTCCTCTTTAAATTTGGAATTACAGACGCACGCAATTACGCTTGTGCGATGCCGAGTATGTACAAGGTGTGTTGCGTCTGATGCCGTAATACGCGTGCGAAATGGATCGAGCGGTCGCCCAAATTGATGGTCTCCTGAGGCGACACACGAAGGCCCTGTCGTAAGGACTAAGCCATTATTCCCCGTCTTGGACGGCGCCCGGTCCTCGAGTTTTTATTTCAGCGTTGCGTCAAACATCGGCGCGTAATTATCCTCTCGAGGCGGTTGGCTCGTCGAGATGTGTTTACCGAGGTGAGTGCAACTCGTACTCACCGCTAGCTATTACCACTTGGCTCTTCGGCGATGTGTAGGAGAGCCTCTTGATCCTCTTCGTGCCCTGGTTGAATATCCGCGATATGCGATTGGTCTTGGTGAGGATCGCGCTGTAGCATATACTGAGACAGAGGCCGAGGCCGATTCTCAGGTACGTGCAATTCCACGTGGTCGGCTTGCTCAGTATGACGAAGCTCATGCCGTAGCACGAGAGAATGCCGACCAGCAGGACGTAGCAGAGCTCGCGACCCGACGCCATGATCACCGGGGTGCGATTGAATCTGCAATTGCGAAAGCGGAAAGATACCGTAGGAGGATCGATGAGAACCCGGGAAAGAAGTCGGGTGGTAAAAAGGGGCCACATCTCTCAAGTCGGCTGGTGAAAAAGGTGACACCTAGCTCGAGCTACACGAAGTCTCTCTGTGTGGCAAACCTATTGTCTTCCGAGAGAGAAGTGGCTCTGTGCGGATAGCAAAATAGCGAATATCGATCGTCAAGTATGAATTCGTAGTTAAGTTTCAATATTCCACTGCTGAGCGTTAAACGATGCCCATTCCGGTGTGAACAACAGGAATTAATAATTAGTAAAAATACACACACTAGTCGATGGCAATATCGTCGCTCCGAAGCCACGATAGTACACAACGATGGACGAGTAAAATTAATGCTAAAAGTATACCTCAAAATTACATGCATTATAAAGGATTAACGATATGCGTCAGAATTTGTTGTTTGCAAAAGCATTATTGATTAACTTTAACCAAGCGCGCTAAACAAATTGCGTTTTCGTTGCAGCTTCGATTTATTACTTATGATTTATCTTTTTGCTTTTTGCGCTCTGCTCTTTAATCTTAGAGAAAACGCAAGGTAACTTTCTCTGTTATACAACATACAATCTCTTGAGATTGTAATGAAATATGATAAAGCATTCTCGCGCATTCTCGGTCTCGCCGAGTTACTCGATCATTATAATTAATCAGGCTGTTAGTTACAACTCGCACGGAACGTCAGGCGCGACTGATATTTAAGTTCATCGGTCGACGTAAGTGGA